AAAGCAAGATGAGTCTGATCACGAAGAAATGGATCACAATCGCATGAATTCGAGGATCAGATTTTGAGCTTAGGAAGTTATGATAGAATTGTTAGGAATATTGATTACATAGTTTTTCAGTTGAATTTTACATTGTAAGGACATATTTTTCCGTTGCTTTTATGAATGAAATAATTTTTTTTAGTTTGAATTATTTATTTATTCATATCCTTGCAATGAAATGGTTGTGATAAATTGGTGTATGTGTATTCCTACAATGAATGGATATGATTCTTGATTTTATTATGGATGTCTTTTTGAATTCTCTAAGTAAGGAAAGTTTTCCATCACCTATGGTTAAATTGGATATAAGCTTGGAATTATATGATATGATTCATGTGATGAATGGAAATCTTATAACTTTAGATAATTTCTTGTTCACACTAGAATGTGATACAAATTAAGGACTAAATGATTGAGTTCACAATGTTGTGCACTAGTCAAGTCCACCATAAATAAAATAAGATTATTCATCTTAATTTACTAAAAGTTTAGTGGACATGATTATGCTCACTAGTTTGAGAATAATTCTGCATCATTGAAAAGGATCTCAATGAAGGGCAGAACGAATAATAAGAATCAATTAGGTAGATGGATAAAAGTTACTCTATTCTAAGAAGAAGGGAGAGTACCTTTTGTCATGATTTATGGTGGTCTTAATGATTTAGAACCATATCTCGATTGATCCTCTAAGTGAGTCTTAGTGCATTTGTATGGCTGAGAAAAGGAAACAAGAATTGTGAAATGGTTAAATCAAGAAGTCAATCATAACTTGTTCCAAAATCAAGTCTCAGAGTTACACTCCAAGATTGTGACTTGAGTGATATTGTTTTTAGTAAAAATGCTCTTACACTTGCAATTGGTAAATTGTGATGTCTTGCAAAAGACAAAGATCGACTAGAACCAATTAAATAAAGGTTTTGACTTGATAAAGAACTCACAATAATTCTTGAATATAATTTTTGTTAAGAAATGTTTTTAACAAGAGAATATTATATGTCAAGGAGTAAGTGGGAGTCTTAATAGTCTTGAAAATTTTCAAGAATATAATTAAGAATAAACCTAATTGATCATCACTAGCACAAGACTTGTGGTTTATAACCTATCATGTTGACACTATCCTTGTTTTCTTAACATTCCAATCAACTATGCAATGTGAGTTCTATGAGTTCTCATTCGAATGCATAAAGACAAAGCACCTTGATCAATGGAAAGTACATTGATATGTGGAGGTGTGTTGCTTGGAAGACATGGTAGGCATTCGTACTGCCATGAGACAAGGAAATAAATAACAAACAAGTTCAATCCATATGAGTTGAATTTGTCACAAACATAGTCTTATGATTGTGGGTATTAATTCACATGCATAGGAACATGTACATTTTCAGAATTTAAGTGTCATAAGAATTCTCTCCTTCATGAAAATGATTGTGAGGAAATACTTTCACTAAGAGAGATTTTAAGAAGATTGCGATTGTGAAAATTGCATTCTCAGATTTGATTATGATTACAACATCCCTTTTCATAGTTCGAATTGTGAGATTTGGCAATTGTTCTGAACGTTTGGGACTCAGTAAAATGAGTTCAAAATTTCTTTAGACACACATATGGGCTCTCTAAGCCAAAGGGTGCATGAGTTTAAGAAGCTTCGATAAAGGCTTATCAAAGCATCAGGTATTGAAATATGGACTCACATAATTCAATAAGCATTGTTTTCTGGAAGTTCAGTTATTTTTCTAAATACGTGTCAGAGCTAGTGGGAGCATAAAAGTTATGCTTGTGTGGTAATAATCATCGTGTTAGTGGGAGCATGATTATTATTTCAAGAATTGCGAGTTAGCAATATTAATTATAGAAAACAAAGTCTTACTTTGCAAGGTTGTAGGGGTTGAAAAGTTGTTTTGCTATAATTAAGGCAGAGAATATTGTACTTCATTTCAAATCTAAAGACTTAGATTATGGAATTTTAAATCGAAATTAGTCAAATATATATATATATATATATATATATATATATATATATATATATATATGAATGTTATGTTGGAATGGTTCAATGAGGAATTTCCTATGGAAAGAATAATTGCATTCTCAAATTCTTTTATGATTACGACATCCCTCTTCATAGTTCAAATTGTGAGAACATGACAATTAAAATATTATGGCAAAAGAATGATAAAGCATCATGTCTTTATGTGAGACTTTATGGATCGTGTCCCATACGCTTTGGGTATAGGATCGATTGCATATGCTGTAATATTTGACCGTTCTAAGCTTTTCCAAATGCCTAGGGCATTAAGGAAAGAGGGACTAGAATCAGATTAGACTAATTAATTGAAGAACTGTCAAAGGACGATCTAAAGTTCATTAAGGATTTGTCACTTGTAAGCAGTTGGAAGTATAGTAAAGGAAGGACCATGTTGACATTATTATGAATAGATAAGATTCTATTCAGAATGAGTTGTCAAATGGAAAATATGGAAATGTTTCCATAATTGGAGATTTGGAAATTAAGAATTCACGTCTAGATTAGAAACTTTTATGAAAGAATGATGTTAAAAGGAATGTACTTTGAGTGAGAAACATCACATCTATAGAATTGTCTTGTAACAATTTCTGATAGAATACATCGTAATTTCATTAGCCAAGTCTTAGTGACTTTTGTGTTATGACTTTATGAAAGGATCGTTGAATAAAATGTAAGAATCTAACATATTATAATAGTGGCAAGAATTTGGTATTCTTACACTAATGATAAGGATTGGAAGTTATGAAATGAGTTTCATTGGAAATGTTTTTCAATTATTCTATTTCACAAAGGACCATTAGAAAACCAAAGTGTGCATGCTTGGAGCATGGGAAAATTGTGGTTATGACTCAAGTACAAAGTTGATTTTTCAAAACGTTAAACAATGAATAATGAGTAGTCAATATGGTGTTAAAATAAAGGTGTTTTATTTACGCTCAACAGTTTTGGGGCCATATAGGATCGAGTATTATTATTGTGTTTCAATTTGCATGTTTTGACTCCAGAATAACTAGGTTATTCAAACATCCACAATCGGTCATACGTTGGGAGTAAGTATGAAGGAAGACTGTCATGAATCTGTCTGTAGATTGTCTAGAATGTTTAGACATAGCACAAGTTTGCTGCAGAATTCAGGAGTGTTTTTGTAATAAGATTAGAGTATTGGATTAAACCAACACTCACGTGAATCGCTTCATGGATTTAATCAAGAGTGATTGCGATACGATAATATTTTATATTCTTAAAACCAAGACGTGTGAGTTGTTATTTGCTGATCGGTTGCACATTGATGTTATAAAACTTATTGTTGTGAGTAATTCAATGAGTAAGTGAAAGCGAGCATTTGAGTCAAAGTTTATCCATTCCTTTTACTCAAAGTGGGATAAAAGCGATGTTTGTAGGCCTCTCGATGATTTAGTGATTACACCCTAAGTGCTTGGCCAAGCCGAGACTAAGTTGATGTGTTCAATTATAGTTTGTTGTCAGCCATCATAAATCGAATGTTGAGGAAACTACTAATAGATAGTGAGAATGATTATAATCCGTGTCTCAGTTTATCTGATATCAAGAATGGAGGAATATATGACCCCTTATCTAAAGGACATGCTTCTGATAAGATCAGAGTTGATAGTGATTTCCGAGAGCTACGATTGCTAATCGGGTTTTGAAGTCATATGTGAAATATAGTTACTAGACTTATTCAAGTGGGAGACAATTGGATTAGTGTCTAAGTCCATAACTATATTTGGTATGTACTTAACCCGATTATGCATGGTCCTTTTGGGTTGCCTTCACCAAAGCAACTTGACAAGGTAATATAAGAGAGAAAGAGGATTTTATGATTTATTAGTATATTATTGGAATAATATATTAAAGGAGAAATCATATTATATGATTAATATTAGTCATAAATTACTTAGGAATTAATATGGTGACTAAAAGAGATGAATCGAATAAAGGGGTATAAACTGTCAAAAGTATGTTAGTTGAGTTTTAGGCTAGGGAAACTTAATGGACTAAATGGAGAACGGAAATATGATGGGGATCCATCATATTTCCGTCCAAGAACCCTGTTCCAGAAGGTTCCTTGGATTGCTTGGTCATTAAGCTGTCTATTAGGGTTTTGCCTGAAACCCTAGTTGCGTATAGTATAAATAGAGACCCTTTGGTGCAATTGGCGGCCACTTGATCCTAAGGAAACCTTAGGGCCGAAATTAACACTCTTTCCCCACTCTCATAGTTGCCTTCTTGCTTGTTGGTGTTTGTAAGCGATTAGAGTAGTTACACTTGTGACTCTAAGCTCAAGAACCAAAGAAGATCAAGGATTCCAAGCTACAAGAAAAAGTAATCATCTAGATCTGTTGTAGATGTGTTAATTTCGAATCATACCTATTGGATCTACGGTTACAAGTCTTGGATCCAAATCATGTACAATAGAGAAACCTAGATCCGAGCATTAGGGTTTGTATGAGCACATAGGATTGTTCTTATGCATAAAACCTATCAATTCTATACTATACATATCTTATTTTTTCGCCATTATTATATTGTCTTGGTATAATAATATAGTCACTTATTCTCAATAGTTTAATGAAATTCACAATTCATACTTTATTTTATTTTGACTGTAGTAAATTATCTCCATCGTTACATTTTTGCTCAGTTTTAAAGGATAGGTGCTTCGCTAGAGTGAATGAGCTTTACAGATGGAGGAAGGAAACCAATTCCAAACAAATGGAAAAGAATTTGTCTAAATGTTGCAAATGGTACCAATTTCAAACTTCTAACTTCTAAACCTAGACTTAAGTACATAACAACACAAAAATCCATTTTTTCCTATGTGTATATATATATATATATATATATATATAGAGAGAGAGAGAGAGAGAGAGAGAATACCATCAAGAGAAATTTGTATCCCAACTCAAGAACATTACAAGAACACTTGACTGGTCATATCAACTTTATCAGCCAGGAGGCGAATTGTATCTGAGTTGTCAGAGTTTATGTCACGGAAAGGAAGAGGGAGGTTAGGTTGTTCACCCAAATTCATGGCAAGACAGTTGGTAATAATACCATATTCTTTGTCAGAAACCACGGTATGCAATGAGCCTATCAGTTTGCAATAGTGGGTTTATGAGTTCCATCATATTATGAAAAGATATAAAAACAAAAAACTGTGACAGTGGGTTTAATTTGAAGCCCAAACCTTCACTTCCAAGGCAAAATTTGGAACTTTGTGAAAAATGTCTCTTAAACTGCACCTGATAAAGATATGAAAGTCACGGCCTTCACGTATCATTGGCTCCCCTACAACACCATTTACTCCAACAACCATATACTAAAGAAGAGTATCATCAAGAAATTAAGTTGCATTAACATACCTTTCGAAGTCTCCCAAGCAACGCCTCCAACGAAAAGTTTTCTACCTGATGTTAACTTTAGAAAATTTAGAAGTTAACTTTCAAACTCATAACATAATGGCCATCTTTTTCATATCTTGGGCGAACATTGGAAATTAGAGAACTAGTCATGAATTCATGATAACATCATAAAATACATACCAACATATTCAGATATGTGACAAGCACTACAGACAAGACAACAAGCATGTCTTGTAAGTCCCTAAATCAATATAACAAAAAGGAAATTAGCCTCACCAACAATGAAAATACATCAACATTTTATCATATTAGAGGGTTTTGAATGTATTCATGACATAGCTGATGTTCAAGATAAAGATAACTACCCTAAAACATTACTTTTCCAGTAGAGCTGTACCAGTCCCCTCATATAAAATAGGAAAGAGAGTATTCACCACAAGAATTATGAGGATCATAGCCTGCATAAGAAAGCAGGTCAATAATTCATAATACATGCATATATAATTTTATCATTTTTAGGTGTGATGGGAGCATGATAAGGACATGGACATTGGATGAATTTCAATAACAGATAACAATTTTTTTCTAGTAGTAGCCTTTCTTTTTTACTAAGGACATGGACATGGACATGGACATTGGATGGACATTCGATGGACTTTAGTAATCAGAAAAAAGTTCATTAAATCTAAAATTAAAGTGGAATTCTCACTAAAAGGTAGATTTTTTACTTGCTGGAAAAGCACCTAATTTTATTATGAAACTTACATCTGGGGAGACGCTTTGTGTCCCATACTTGTCATCACTAGGCAGACGTCATGACTTATTTCGCCCAGTGTTTTCTTTGGCTTTTGATGTATAACCTGAATGGGATTAAAACTGATTAAAATAATATCTTTAAAACTTGAAAGACTAAATTTTTATATAATAAAAGAAACTTTACCAGAAATGCTATAGCCTGCTGTATATGCTTCAGTTCATCCCAAGCAGAAACTGAATACTGCTGTCCTTTTGTTTAGCAAATAAGAATAGAAAATAGTGTTTGGCATGACGGAATTGAGGAAGGAATGGAATCGTTAATTCCATTCCAATAAAAGAAAATATCACTCCAGAGTTACCTCATAAGTTGCGTTAAAACACCAGTGGTCTTGTTTAGCCAATCCCGCTTTCACATACTCACCATTGCTAAACGAACAACACTCACATCTCAAAAGTAGACTGCATTTTATAAAAAAAAATAAAAAATTCCCAAAGGTCCAGAATCATATTTTAAATTTAAATCAAAAAAGAATACACTCTACAAAAAAATAAATATATACCTGTTAAAGAATACACTCTTCAAGATTTATTTTTAATCCTGCAACTTGTGGATCTTAACCTGTAAGTTAGGCTGCTATGAGTAGCATTTTAGCTTAACATCAATTTTACCTGCAATAGATGCATGCTCTGAATTTCTGTGTAGGAAATACTTCTGGAAGTCAAGTGGGGGGGGGGGGGGGGGTGGGGTAGGGGTATGACTCGGCAACTGTTCCAGATATTTTTAATCCAAATATTTCAACTCAACAACATCCACCTACTTCCATGATGAACAACTCAAAGAAAGAGGATACCAGACCCTTGGTATTCAATGTGGTTAGGTTGCAATGTTTTGGTGCAAGAACATTTAGCAGGTAAGCATAAGCTTTTCTATCCTAAACATGAAATCAAACTTAATGTTATTAAACATGAAAAAAGCACAATGAAAAAGGGAGATTTACCTTGAGATCAGATGAGAAATATTTAAAACTTATAAAATTTATCTGCAAGAATTTGACCAAATAAAATTCATTAACTTTTTACCTGTTCGAGTTGAAGTTCAGTCATGTTAAAGGAGAAAAGGTTATGATATGCTTCTCACTAAAACTTAAGTGGCTCACCTTCCACTTTTGTATTGCAGGCCTTCATTTTGTTTTTGACTACCTCCTACTGTATCATGAAAAGAAGTTATAATAATCACTACAATTTCAAGAAAACATGGCATATAAGAGAGTATATAACTCATGTCCTTGTCTACCAGGTCTTAAAAAAACCTAGGAACAAGAAAAACAATAAAAAAAAAGATGACCATCACTCCATTAAATCATAAAAAAATATTAGAAAAAAACTAGTTATACTTAAATACATCACATATTAGAGAATATAACATTAGTTTGACTAGTTGGTTCTTGATTATAAGAAGTTATTCTTGTAGCCTAGTTGTATATACTAATAATTGGGTACATGTTGCCTGCGCTTGACAGGTAGCTTGCCAAACAACAACAACTTGTTCAGAGAATGAAACTAAAAGCAATGGTAACAGAGACAATGTTATCATATTCTATCCATGAAGCAACCACCTCCCTTGTCACTATCAGTGAGGTACATTATGTTTACACTTTCTTGTATAAATTCAGCTCCCCCTTCACCACATACGTTACTTCCATATAACCTGCCAAGAAAAAACTCATAATTTGAAAATTTGACAAAAACAAAAAAAGGAAATATGAAACTTGTTTATGTGAAAAAATGTACTCATTTAACTTAACAAGGTCTGCCAATAGGTATGACATTTCTTTTCCCAAATTCCTTGAAGGATCTAAAGTTCTAAACCAATAGCTGTAAGCTGAAATGGTGAAATCAAGTTTTTTTTTTTTTTTCAGAGATGAGAAGTAGATGCAGAAAAAAAAATGGAGGCATAAAGGTGAGATCGAAAATACCGGGTGAAATCGTAGATGCAGGAAAAACTCATAAGCCGTTTTTCTTGATTGAGAAGATGAAGTCGATAGATGAATGAGAAATTACGTTTTTTCTTATTTGTTGAACGGCTGAAGAAATAGGGCAAGGTAGAAGCATCCTTTTCATACATTAGTGCAATTAGACCTAGGGCTTGCAAACCTGAGGAGTCTTAGTAGATGGAGTAGGGTGGAGGGGAGGTGGACCAGTGAGCCTGAGGAGTCGATACTGATGTAATGATGGTGATAGATAACTTTTCGTTCTTATGTGATGAGTATGAGAGTGATTATTAGACAGGTGTGTAGTACCCGATGTCGTAGCCTGAGGAGTTGCAACACCAGTCTGATGGAGGAGTCATAGTTGCCGAACGACACTGCAATCGAGAGTGAAGCAACTGGGTTCTAAGGTCTCCGATCAAAAAAGCCCTAGTTTTACCTATAACCATCGTGGTGTCTTCCTTCTTCTAAGCCACCCTCGCTGTCTTCTTCTTTCCCTTAAGCCACCATCTGGAACCTAAGAGAAAGAGAAAGAGAGAGAGAGAGAGAGAGAAAGAGAGAGAGAGAGAGAGAGAGATAGAGAGATGAAGATAGATCTTTGAAAAAAGCCCTAGTCTTGATTTTGTGCTTTGGGACTCATAGACGCGTTTCTCCCTTCTCCTTTCTTCAAATCGGTCCCGCACCAGAGGTGCTCCCCCTTTCTCGATTGATTGCCATCATTGAGCCACCATGGCTGCTTGCGTTCCCATATTCCTTGCTCAATAGCTGAACCACGACAACCGGACAAAAACTCCCGCTACCTTCGTCATTCTAATTCCCCTTTTTCGATTTATCTGTAGGGAATAAGAAACAAACGATAATCAAGATTTGCATTTTTAATACTGAGACTTGAGAATATAATACTGAATTAGGGCTTTTTCTGACAATTTCAACATTGAGTGGGAGATATGGTGGTTTCAGTGGGTAGAAGTAAATGAGCCTTGATCGATGTCAAGGAACGGGGAAGAATCGGAGGCGACGGTCGGAGTGCAAGGGAAAGAATCAAGTAACACTCGATGTAGGGAGGTGGAGGAAGACCGAAGAAGATTTTTGTGGTCAAAGAACACACCCAGAGCTAAAGATGGGAAACAAGGAAGGAAGGCGGGTTTTCTAATTTTTTTTCCTTTTTCCCACTGCTAGTTGCTGAAGAGCGCGTTTGTAAATTATAAAGTGACATTTCTAGGCGACACACCTTTAACATAAGCACCCTCCTTGTTTTTTTTTGTGAGACACTAATTCTAGGGCACGCAAGAATGCGCATCCAAAATTCTTTAAATTTCAAAAGATTTGACATTAATTATAGGGCACGCCCTTTTGGATATCATTAATCAGTGCGTGTCGTAAAAAGCGTGTCATTAAAGGTCTGTTATCTAGTAGTGAAAAAAGAAAAATTGAGGGTGGGCCTAGGCCTACCCTGGTTCTAGGGTGGCTCCGCCCATGAGACTAACAAAAATTGGCTTAATGAGCAATACCTATTGGAAACCATCTTATATCCTTTTCTCACTACAAGTATTCGGCACATGATGAATTTTCCTACTAAAATTAAAGTTGTAGCAAGATACACCTCTGGTGCCTTTGAATTAGTATGGATGGTCAACTGTTGATGTGAACATAGTGGATATGTCGAGATGCGAAACAATGGTATGGAAAGGGTGCCATTTTTCAATATATTTCATGAAAATTAAGCGGGCGGTAAGTTAATATTTGCCATTTTCTCATTTAGTATGTGTTGAATTCCTTTATTGTAACCGGAATTTTTTGCAATTGATGGAAAGTATAACTTTCATCATAAGATTAATATTATATTTATTATTTCTATATTTATGTTAAACTAATTAATTGTTTTTCTTAGTTAATTTCATTTTTCAGATTTTATGTTAATGTAATGGTTGATTTGTTAAATTGTTATTTTATTTAGAAAAGATAACATTATTACCTAAATTAAATTTTAATTACTATAATTAAAAAGTTTAATATAATATTAAAGAGTAAATACATAAAGTTGAAATTTATCAAAATGAAATGTGGATTATTTATAATTATAAAGCCATTTGCCAATTTTAATATATTGTTGGGTGTCGAACCATTTGTACTTGAACATGGGTGCAATGCTAAAATCATATTTTAATTACCAAACTTCTTGAAGGACACCATCACACAAGTGTTAAGTGATCCTCGACCTTACATCATGATTATCCCAAGATAATTATATAATCAATTCTATTTTCAAATGTACTTTTTACATCTTGTATATTTGTGTAAAATGAATACACGTTTATGTCATAGCATTGGTATGTTGCCAAATGATGTTGTGGACCATTCGCCAAATGTACAACACTTTGGTCGATATTGAGACGACCTAAAAATAAGACCCAAAAATACTTCATGTTAAATTAATAAAACAATAAACTATGTAATTGTCATAAAACCAAGGTGATCAAATTTTATCAATACATCATCCTTATCAAAGTAAATCACAAAATGTGGAATTGAGTGGTGTGTGCTTTGCAATCATCTCGGGCTCTTCCCTTTGATACTAGAAGTACCTAAAACATAAACTGAAAACCATAAGCACAAAGATTAGTGAGTTCTCCAAAATACCTCATACCATACATAACTAAAAACATAATGGCCCCCACATAATGACTTTATCGGGCCTCGCCGACACTCACCTAACGAGTCTCGCTCATTGAATATAACATTGAATATAACAGGCCCCTCCAACTGAGTATAATGGTCCCCGTCCAAACTCATATAACGGGCCCCACCCACTAAATATAATAGGCCCCACTCAAAGTCTCACAATGGACCCCGCCCATATACGAATCATATAAGCATAATAAGATACTAGCGTACATAATAACCATCGGGCCCCGCCTAGTAAATATACAAGCACATACACATCCTAGGGTTATATAGACATCTAGTATCCTACTTAACAACCATGGCCTGATATTGGTGCCTTCAACCCGCTAAAGATAGTTAGGAAACTCACCTCATGCTGCTGAATCTCGTAGATAAATCTCTGGCTACTGGCCTGCTAAATCCCCGCGTTGTCAACCACATAATCACATCGAATTAATAATTAGATCCCGACTTACACTAAGAGTCCAAACTAGTGTAAAATAACTTTTTACCCTTTACCCAACTTGGCCCAAGCCAAGGCCCAATTCAATTGTCCAAAAAAGCCCAAATTCCAAAAAAATCACCCAAAGTCCAATATGGTTCAATTTTCCAAATTGGGCCAAATCGCTTTCATGGTCCTTCATCCATCAGAGTCCAATAAAATATCAATAGCCGAACAATGGAATCATTATGGCCCAACAAGGCTCAAAGCATCTAAGTTCCAACATGGTCCAATATCGTGAGCACATTAGTCTGAAGCCTAAATTGGTGAGTACGCGGGGCGTACACAGCTTGTATGTTTAGCGTGCTAGCTTGAGGGCTTATACACGTCCTTCAGTTGGCTTGTCACGTAAAGTTTCTGACTTTACATGCATGCATGGCTTAATCATGTTTAGAGCTCAAAAGAGCTTTATAAATGACTTAACACATCCATGAGACCAAATCACCATAAAGTTTGCACCTTTATGCTCAAGAAACCCTTAATGTGTCGAGATCTACAAGGATAAGCTCCAAAAACGTTCCCATGAAAAAGTAAAGAGTAGATATATTAAAAGCGATACCAACACCAATAAAAAAGAGACCAAAATGACCATAAACAAGCTAAAGAGTAGATATATGAAAAGAGATACCAAGATTTGACTTTATACCTCAAAAGCCACAAAATGGTGCTAAAGTTGGATCTCAAGGCCCTCCTCCAAAGAATGAGTCTTCAAGCTTCTCCTTCTACCACTTCAAGATGCACAACATCCATCAAAAGCTTCATAGGATCTCAAAAGCACCACACAAAGTCCAAGGAACGAATTATGATTTTCAAGGGTATGGAGGCTGGATAAACAAAGCCAAAAGAAGCTATCTTATGGTTTATATGGGGTACAAGCCCCTAAGGTAGGGTTTATAATCTGCTCACGTACACCTAGCGTACGTAGATGAGCTTTGCAACCAAACTGGCTTTGTATGCCCAGCGTACATGGAGTACGCCCAACGTACTCTAACTTTCCCAAAGATGGCAATTCTTCCCCTAGAGACCAATTCTACAAACAATACACCCCCAAAGGGTCTAAACCGAAATGTGAAAAGAACCAAGCATTACAAATCTCCTAAACTTAAATTATATTTCGTCCTTGAAATGACTCATTACCATCCCAGGCATGCCAGAGAGCGTGAGCAACCCAACCACAACCTCGAACATACAACAACCCTTCCAAGGCAACCAAACCCAACTCTAACAGGGCTCTCCACATCTGATGATGGACGAATCCTTTATCACCCTAAACTAATATCCTATGAGAAAACAACATCTACTCTACCCAAAATTTGAAATCTCGAATTGTTATGACTCCCCGACAGACCGTCCATACCGAACTACCGCTAATTCTATTCCATTTGTCTTTTAAACTTACTACTTAACTTAAGATTACCTAAGGTTCCCAGAAGAAAAACATAACCACGAACCATAAACTGCTGCTGACAGCTTTCACTTGATCGAAGGGATTAGATATTCCTTTGAGAAAAGGCTCATCATGATGTTAACGATTCCATGAATATAATGAACAACGTAGGACAAACTGGGAGATAAATGTTCTAGTGGTGAACAAGAAAATGCTTCGTAAACTACCAAACCGATATGCTTTTGCTAAAATCCTGTAGTCCCACAACTTGTCGGACCCACACACAGGTAGCATCATTCCACAACACGAGGACAAGGGTCCTGCTTAATTCATATCCTACTTAAACAAAAAATTTCTACTTAATAAAAGAACATTTTTTTTAAATATTTCATAGTATTTTGTAAGAATTTATTATTGGTTGTCTGCGCTTTATTTGTGGAATTTAGAAAAAAAAAAAAAAACGATCATAAATAGATATTTAGGAAATCAAGTATACAAATTTTAAAAATATATATTTTTTATAATCGATTTTTATTATTATTATTTTTATTATTATATTTGTTGTCGTTATCACTTATTGTATGTTTATATTATGATTAACATAATAATAATAATAATAATAATAATTATTATTATTATTATTATTATTATTATTATTATTTTTGTTATTATTACTATTATTACACATACATACTCATATACACATAAACACACATTAAATATCTAACAAGATAACAAAACCCTAAAAAGCCCTAACAACCTAAAGTTAAAAATTTTCACCTCAAAGATTCTATAAAAATAATTATGAATATCAATTTAAAACAATTAAAATTAGGTAAGTATAACCAAAGAAATAAATTTTAGGTCATTACCAATTACATTTAATTTATAAGACA